CCCAGGGGACCCCCAGCCCCTGCTGTGCCCTGCCCAGCAAGGTAAGGACCTTGCTAACATTAAGGTGGTTCTTCCGACTGTTCATCAGCGTCATACAACTTTGTTAGTCACCATTCTGGGGTAAATGGAAATTTCTGCTTCTTCAGTAGGTCTCATAGGCTTTAAGTCATTAAGCCTAAGCATATGCGTGTAGTTTATCAGCTTTTCCTCTTTGACGATCAATTAGAAAATGTAAACAGTTCTTTGTATTGTGTATTATATTATTAAATACTTGAGCTGAGCACCATGAATGCTGGCACACTGAAAGTCAGTAAAGGGATCAGGAATAATACGGACTACAAATAAAACTGCTATCTCTCATTTCCCATCAATCATAAATGTGCACCACGTGCAACGCTGAAATATTGAACCAGAATTATACAGCATTCAGTCTAAACAATATTAACCTGAGTTTAGAAAAAAACAAATTGCTTACAGAGACTAGCTGACTTGGCCCTCCAACAGTCGTGAAATTTTAGCTCCAATTTTGGAAGTATGTTTGAGAAAAGTAACTTGTTTTTCCAACTGAGGTTTTAATGGAAGTATACGACTAATTTATTCTATTTTGTTAGAAGTTTACTGGAGGGAGTAAAGCATAATAGAGATACTTGCAGATAATAAATTGGAAGGAACAGCAAACACTAGTAATAACACACAGATAATTCAGCAGCAAATAGCCCCTTTCTGCTGAGCATTACTTTTACCAGGCATAGATTACTTCAGCTCATTTCTGCAATGTATTAGCAAACAAGAATAAATTCGGGAGCTGAAAAAAACCCACCAAACAAGAGTGAATGGTGGAGTTGCATGGACACATTATTCTGCAGTAGTGTGAAACCAAGTACTGAGAGGGTATATTTAGATTTTTCGTTTAAAGACACTTCGCTCAAGAGACATTTCCGAATCACAGTTGCTTTGCTGCTCTGGAAAGAGTAGGAAATACGATTTTTATTTATGTCTTTTTTACAATGTTTTCGATCGTCCAGTCTTTACATGGATGTGCCTATGTAATATTATTCATGTTTACATACAGCTTGTAATAATTTATCCAAGAGCTTCCTTTACAGACTTTCTTATTAAGTCTGACTGGAATGGAGTTAACTTTCTTCATAGCAGCTTGCATGGTGCTGTGGTTCAAATTTCTAACTAGAATAGTGTGGATAACACACCAGTGTTACCCTGTGGCTGAGCAGTGCTTGCACAACTTCAACTGCCCCAACAGCAAGTAGGCTGGGGGTGGGCAAGAGGCTGGGAGGTGACACAGCCAGGACAGCTGATGCCAGTCGACCGAAGGGATATACCATACCATACGACAACACGGTCAGCGATAAAGCTCAGGGAAAGGAGGAGGAAGTGGGCACATTCGTGGTTACAGGTTTGTCTTCCCAAGTAACCATCACTTGTGCGCAGGCCCTGCTTTGAGGAAATGGCTAAACATCTGCCCACTGATTGGAAGTAGTTAATAAAATCCTTATTTTGCTTCAGTTGCATGAACAGCTTTACTTCGTTTATTAACCTGTCTTGATGTCCACTCCTGAGTTTTTAGCTTTTGCTCTGCCAGTTGTCTCCTTTATTCCACTGGTGGTGAGTGAGCGAGTGGCTGGGCTGCGTGTTTAGCTGCTGTTTGGGGTCAACTCACCACAACTGTTTACACTCTTTAATGAAAAAAGCATCATTCCTAAGTACATCACACATTTCTTTATACTACCTGAAAAATCTATTCTGGCAACAGGAAAAAAATATTTTCCTTTTGGTCTTATGAAATAACTAGGTAATGAAACCTTTTTTCATAAGTATATGAGTTTTATATAAGTGAGATTATGCTTTAGCTTGTTCTGGAACAAGCAAAAGCTTAGGTCCAGGTGTTGCAAATCCTTCCCTCCACAGTCTATCATTCGCTGCCCTGGTAACTGGCATTCAGCATAAGACTTTGTGAGTAAAAGGAGTATCTCTTTGAGCATCTATTTAGGAATTTAATTAGAAAAGTTTAACCTAAACATAACTAACTAGTTCTACTTAAAATATGTTTAACATAACAAAAAGATTACGTGACATGAAAAGTATTAAAAGGAAATTAGCTCCCTAAATTACCCTTGCGAACTTCATGAAAAATTCCAAATAGCACCTACCTCTGCAGATTGGCCTATGGTCACTCCAGGCAGCCAGTGTATCTGTCACTCTCTGACAAGTAATGCTCTTAGAACCCTGCAGCACATAATTATCTTCACAGGAAAACTGTACACTTGCACCCACCCTATGAGAAACATGGGAGGAAGAAGGAAAGAATTAAAATATATTTTAAATATCGACCCCCCCCAAATAAATGTAAATGTCACCAAATGACAACATTGCTAGGTCCAAACCAAGAAATAAAGATGTGAAATTCTACTCCATCATTACTATGTTCATAAGAATCAACTTGTACTATAGGGAACAGGTCTACTGTTTAGTTTGTCCACCTTTTAAAGAAGTAAGGCCAGGAATGTAAAGCAATTGTGATACTAAGTTTCATCCTTTAAACTATGACTTTAACGAATGCCTAGAGAAATATTTTTTTTAAGAAAGTATATAATCGCAGTTCTTTCAGGCAACAAAATGTACTTCATAAATAATTTAATTCTCTCCATATTCTCTTAAATGAGAGAATAAGCAGTTAGATATGGTAATTTGTCAACATGTAAGACCAGGAAAAATGAATTTCAGTAAATTGTAATAATTCATTAAGTGTTCCTGACCGTGTGGAAATTTCCTGTTAAAAACTATAATGATAACTTAAACATCAAATTAAATTAATAAATAATAAATAATAATTAATGAATAATTATTATTAATTAGACTGACATTTGACTGTTACATTTGTAACTTTGAAATGTATCTCTTAGGAATGATTTATACCTCTTTTTTTTTAAATAAATAATTCCTCTGAACAATGCTGACCAATATTTATGAAGAAATAAAAAACTGTACATATTTACTGTGTATCTCAAAGACAGCTTTCCTAAACTGTGCTTACATTTCTGCTTCCTTTTATTATTTGTGACATTCTTTGTTCCCCATCATAATCAACTGGTTTTGTTGTTAGCTCTCTTGCACGTTTAAATCTGTATCTGCTAATCCCATGTTGTGAACTAAGTGATCCTGCTAAAGCACATTTCTCTGTTCGTTCTTTCTAAGTCATTGAGTCTTAAACACCAGGGGATTGTTAGATGGCAGTCAGAAAGCTCATTCCTACCCTTCAAGAACGAGTATTCTATTAGTTTCTCAGAGATTATCACAAACTATATCGTTTATCATTATTACGCTGTACTGCTATAGTTCTTTCACAACACATTAATAGGATCCTTTTTATTTTCTTTTTTTTTTTAATTAATTTGAGAATTTGAATGTGATGCTCCAAATTTAGGAAAACTTTAAAAACTTCTTCTTTCTCTGCTTCTCTTGGTTCTTGAGCTGTTAAATGTGAAAAAGTCAGAAGAATTGGGAAAATATTGTCCCTTTCCTTCAGTAGTTCATGGGAAAGCATGATATCCTTGAAGAATAATATAATATTCTAAAATTGTATTTATATTATATTTTTAATAATTACTACCCTTCAGAACATTCTATAAACTCTCAGAAAAATGGACCAAGCATGATTCCAAATACATAAATCAATATGCAATTTATTTTTCTTATTGCTAAAAAAAAATTATGATTAAATAATCTGCCATTTAAATGCTCTAAAAACCTATTTTTAAATGTATTTTCTCATACTATCTAAAATTATAAGCTCTGAACATTTGTTCTATGGAAACAGGAAACAAAAAATCCTGTTACTTAGTTGTGATAAAAGTAAACTGAGAAGTGAAGGATTTAAAAATCATATTGGATAATGACCTTCCCAAAAGTATAAAGATGTGTGAATCAACATGAAAGCATCAACATTTCCCTGAAGTTTGCTACTATCAAGACATGTAAGGAGAATTACAAAATTGTGCACATACAAAAAATTAGAATGAAATTAAATATATAATTATTGGATGTCTGCAACTGCAGTTTAGAATTGAATATACCTGATTATTCCCCCCAACCAAGAAAGAAGGAAAAAAAAAACAACCCAGGAGGAATACAAATATTCTAATGTCTGATGCAGTAATTGAAGGATTTCACGTTGAGACTGGGTTTTCATCATTACAGCAATATTAAAAAAAATAGTATTATGGATACATAAAATGTAACATGTTCATTTAATCTATACACTTATGAGGATTCAATTTGTTTCACTATTATTCCATACTGTATATTGTATTTTTTTTCCAAAGCTCTGGAAATTGCTTGTATCTAAGGTCTAATAAAGTGAACTTCACATATTTCACACAGTGGACATCATCTTTTGAAATGCTTGATCACAAAACACATGACACAAAATAAATATACTGACTACAACATATTAAAAAAAACCCCAAAATCTAGCAAAAGTGTCAAATTACAGAGCAAGGTAGGAATATGAAGTACTCAAAGCACCTTAGTGTTAGAATTCAAGGAGGAGAGAAACCTGAATGCCAGCTATAGGCATTGACAAGTACAACCTTTTGAAAGTAGTTTCAAGAATTCTAATTAAACTTCAGGCAGGCTACAGAAGAGCAGTCATAGGTTTTACCAGAATAACTGACATAGTTCTGGACATCTTTTGTGTGGCTACAATATACTCTAAGGTTGCTATAATATTATTTAATATCCATCTTTTTCAAAGCACCTATTATGAGAATTCATGTTTATGCCATGAGTCTGACAACTGATACTTTCAAGAAAATAATTTTAATGTAATTTTAATTCTGTCTAGGCTTACCAAAAAAAGGAAAAAAGTATTGAAAAGCTCTAAATACTGCCAAATACAGGTATGGACTGTTACACTATAACATAAGTGAAGGAAATTAAAAGTCTGTGTAAGTAACTCATTAATTATGAAATATATATGTGTATAGATAGAGTTGTTATATAACACCCACACTGCAGATACCTGAATCAAGCCATATAACTTTAGATGTTTAGGAGGACAGTGCATACCAAGAAATCTTAAGTGAGCTGAGTCACTAGAGTATTTTCTGTTTCCAAACAATCAGATCTATCTAAATAAGCATCTTAAGGGAGTGGATATACCTAGGCCACAAAGTCTACAATGAAAGTCCTTATTCTGTAAGCAAGATCCAAATTGATGAGCCTCTCCTTTGATTCTGCCTGACATTTTTCCATTAAAAAACAGGGCATCTTTTTAAAGCTGTGTTTTAACTTATTTGACCTGTGATTTCAAAGTAAATTATTACTTCACTTAATTTCCAGTCATTAAAAATGAATGTTTTTAATTTCTCTTTTTTGCCTCTTTAACTCCCTAGTCACTGAGCAAATCTGTGGGCGCTAGAAGTGTTTTGTTAATTCTCTATGTACACTTTCAATAGGGGGAAGAAATCAGTTTCCTCTTTTTTCTTTTCCTATTTTAAATTTCTACTGCATCAAAGCAAAATTTGTGCTTTTATAAAACAGGCTAGAATTTGACTGAAAGACATTCTTTTTAAAAAAGAAAAAAATTCTGTAAGAAATATTAAGCATAAGAAAGTTCACTTATTTTTAAAAAAGCTGTTTTGAAAATTCAAAAACTATTTTTGTTACAAGCGTCAGTGGGATTGTGGAAAATTATTGTATTTTCACAGTCTACCATACAATATTTAAGGAGAGATGAAATGTTATTGTTTATATCCATTTTACACTTCATTTAAATAACTTATTGTTTTGAGATCTCACAGAAAAATAAAATGTGATATTGACCCCAAAATTGTATTATCTTCTCATTTATCTAGTAAAGTCTAAGTTGCCATTTTCCCCTCAAATGAAATCCAAATATCCAATGCAATTTTTTTGAAATTCACTGAAAATTACCTCCCCTACTTCCTGAACTGAACACAGTAAAAGAGTGGCAGGAGGACAGAATGAAAAGGTTAGATTTCAGTACCTTTTTGTTTGCTTTATCATATTAGAATGAAGGCCATTATTATGCTGAAAACGACGAAACCCTTTTCAAAGAACTTGTCATCACTGAATAAATTGGGTCTCAGGCTGACTCGAAAATAAACCCTCTGCCTTTCTATCAATCCCACTCACAACATGTCTTTCAGTAGACTGGAAAAGATTTTGAATAATGTGCATTTTCACATGTTTTAGTTCAGATTAATATCCACAGTTGTCATTCTCCTGACAAGAACAATAGCTCCTTCTGGTGTCTATACTTGCCTCTTAGAAAAGAAAAAACATTGCCTTTCTCTTAGTCTCCACAGTATTTTTGCTGCATTGGAGGAATGCAAACAACAACGAGTATTATTTTCTCTTCTCTTATCATAGAGCTTGATTTGTCATTTTAGTGAAAGAAAAACTAAATTTCAGCCAAATTATCTATTTAAATGACAAGCTAGATATAGATAACTAAACTTTAAGGTAGCTAAGACATGTTCTAAATAGATGTAAAAAAAATAAGTTTACAGTACATGAAAAACAGTTGCTGTTGCATAATCAGATTTCAGATAACAACTGAAGTTTTGGAGGGAAATAAAATTTTATTGTTTGTCTCAATTAATATTCAGAATTGGACGCCCAAAACATGCACACAAATAACAAGGGATCAAAGTATATTAACGTGTTTTATTTACCATATCATATATGATGTTGTTTGTGCTATTTTTTGACATATTATGCATTCATCTACTTCCGTGAGCTTTAAGATACTTTAGATGAAATGAAAATACTACCAGAGTCTGAATGGGGTAAAGGAAAGAGCGGAATAGCCTTGCCCTGTCATTTGAGTAAGTATTGCTCATAAATAAGCTCCAGATATTTAAGATACCTTTAACCCACATTTATTCATAAGAGACTGTGTTCAAAATATAGTTATGTATGTTTTTTCGTTGACATTAGATTCCCTCAGATATCTTAAAATACACATTGAGCTTTAAGGCTCTTCTGGGCTTTCCATCTTCTTGACATTTTCATGCACTGATGGGAATTTTGGGCTTTCCTATGTCGGGGCTCACACGTTTAGATCTTTGGACCTGTTTCACCAAAAAAATATTTCAGATTCCTTTCTCTTTCAAATTACAGACTATAGTTCAGAGGGGAAAAGAAGTAATTCACTCTCTTACCCTATTCCAGTTTACCAGTGCTCTTAGACTTGCCAGTCAAAGTGCATGCGCTATGTTTCTGAAGAAGTATTCATACCTCACTGACTTGGACCATAACTAGATGGGTCTGCTCGGCCCACAGTATATCATGAACACATAAAATCTGTTCAAGATTCATAGACTCACAGAATAAATTACACTGGAAGAGGGCATCATCTAGTCCAATGTCCCACTCCGAGAAAGTCCAGTCAGAACATGGAGTTCAGGGTCTTGCTCAGGTGAGATTTGAATGCCTCCCTGGATGGAGATTGCACAAACCCTGTTGGAAACTTGCTCCAGTGTTTGACTATCCTCATAGTAAAAATATTTTTTTTTTTTTAAATCCTGAATCTAGTAGTAATTTACCATGTCCCAACTTCTGTCCACCGCCTCTAGTCCTGTCACTGTCCACCTCTGAATAAAGTCTGGCTTTCTCTTCTCTACACTCTCCTGTTTAGTAGCTGTAGACAGCAGCAAGGTCCTTCAGATTCTCTGAAGACTGAGCAAACCCAGAACTCCCAGCCTCTTACAGGTCATGTGCTCAGGTTCCCTCACCATCCTGTCTGCTGAACTCACTCTGCTATCTACAGTTAATGGAGTGAGAAAGGCCCCTTCCAGTGTGAATTCATGCTATTTTCCATTAAACATTTAGGCTATGGGGTTAACTCTTTCCAGAGATGCTTTTCTCTCTCCACCAATATCAGAGTGATCCTAGATACTGCCCTTAATTCTTTCAACTAAGTATTTGATCTGGAGGAATTCAGAACAAGAGGTATGCTCTGCAACCTTTACGGCTATGAGGAGACACTCAAGTGGAGGAGGGAAACTGAGGCATACCGGCACAAATAATCAAGTAAAATACTCTCCAAAATAACAGTGGAAGTATACAGGTATCCCTTGGATGAATACACGAGACACTTTAATACATCTTGATAAAGAGTTATATTTTAGTATCCCATTTTTACCTAGTCTTCTGCCAACTGATGTTTCTCTCCTCAATACATCAAGCGTTAATAAAGACCTAGATAACATGTTTTCCTAAAACAGCAGACCTTTTGACAGCAAGTGCATACTATATTTTTGTATCATACAATTTGCCTTGCAGCAGCTGTATTTGTCAAGTTAAATCAGAGTATACAGAACAGGATAATAGCAAACATCTTCTGGACAGCTTGTCTCTCTAGCCTATTTATTGAAAAGCTTATTTCACTTCACTGTTTTTTAAAACACATTTAACTGCTGCCCCATTGCTAACAAAATCATGACTTTGCATGTAACTAATTCTTGCAAAGTTAGAGTTATTTCTGAGTTCTCAAACTCCTTTGAGGGTAAATAGAGAAAAATCCAAAAAGAGTAGGTCTGTCAGAAATAGAATAGATTTTAAAATTATTTTTCCATTGTCAGTTATCCCCTAGCTTGGAAGAGCCTTGATTCAGGGGCCAGGTTTGACTAGCTTGCTTTCTGGAGTTGCAGTGAACTTTGCACAATTCCTTCCAATTCCTGTGAAGTTTTCCTTTCCATGTACTCTTAGGTCTAACTGTCCTTTCCCTGCTGAGCAATTTATAAATCTCTCCATGAGCTGGAGGCTCACGTCGCCTTACTTTGACCCTCTTCTCTGCATCACCTTGAAGTTTCTGCTTTTTTTCCCCAACAGGGAAAGAGCAATCTTCCTCCTTTCTCCTTAGGTGTCCATTTGACCTCGTTTTCCTTTTTTAACGAATGTAACAAAAGCTGAAAACAACAAAAAGCAAGGAGATGGCATTCATCACAGCCATGTTTCCCAAAATTTTTAACAACTTTTATATGGTGGGAAAATAGACAATTGTCTCCACTTCTTCTTCTATGCTGCCCAGAGAGTTCTGCCTTTCCTACACAGACATGATTATTAAGTTCTAAAATTCCTATTTTAAATGAATTGATTTAAAAAAGAAACAGACAAAATGAATTCAAGATATGCAATGGACTGGATCTATTTTGACAAAGACGACACATTCAAAACTAGGGAAACAATACATATCTAGTTGCACGTTCTGTGTACATGCAGCAGGAAATGCATTCCTCTTGGTCGTATGGAAAACTAAATGTGCCTACCTGAAGTCAGAGCCCACCCTTTTCCCATTTTCTGGAATTCCAGGATCAGGACACGTATCAGATGCAACTGCATCCCCACCCTGGGTCACTGCAAAGTAAAGGGAAAAAAAAAATAAATTTAGACATGCAGCTGTAAAGATGATAAAAAATCATGTTTTGCTTCTGTGGGAAAATATATGATTGCTCTCCCATGGTCAGCCATCTTTTCATGGAGATACAAGGATCTGTGACTTTTCTCAGACAGGGAAAACAGTATTTCATGAAGTCACCTTCTCAAATATTCACATCATACCATTGTAAAATTAAGATAGTATAAGAAAATAAAATCTCATTTAAGCTTCTGTCCATAATAAGACTTGAAATAGACAAAAGCCAAGAACCCAATTGCAATATAGAAATATTTTTATGAATGTAAAGATCATCTCAAAATAATACAGAAAACCTCACAAAGCAATGCATTTGTAACCAGCTGAATATGTGCTTATACAAACAAGGCTCAAAATCTCTTATTTCATGTAGGAATAGAAAGAGAAGGTATCTTATACTATTCCATTCCTTTTGTCCTCTGTTCTTTCTCCTCCCAGGCCGTCAGATATTTAAATAATGCCAGGTATATAAATACATAAACTTACAGTACTTTCAAAAGTCAAAACAATTTCAACATTCAATTTTCACTTTTTTCTTCTTCATTTGTAAAAAGATATATAACGAATATGTGGGATTAAAACTAATTAATAATAAAGAAAATACATCAAATAACAGAGCACAATACTGAATGTACAGAAAACCTGAATACACATGTGCTTTCTATCCTGCACATATGCAGAAATGTTTCCATGCAAAGTCACACCTCTCCTTTCTTTCTGTTTCCTCCACAAAAGAACAGAGCTAGCAGAAACTTGTGGATCACTTTTTTAATCTTAAAAGATTTTTTGGGAAACCCTTAAGGACAGGGCAGAATGTTTTTCCTGACTAAAAACGGTCAGTTGGAATATTTTAGCTGCGCAAAATAAATTACGCAAACCTGAGTGGATTACAGATGACAGCATTACAGCTGAAAGGTGGTGAGAGATTAGACGTAAGAAGTGGCTGGTTTTCCCACACAGGGATATGCTTTCACCTTGAACACAGTGGCAAAACGAGTGGTGCAAGCGGGATACATAAAATCAGATGGTAGGAGCTATAAATCTTTATGTCTGTTTTGGCAGCATCAGGAATAATTAATTTACACAGAAATCCAAAGTTTTACTAGAGAAAATTTAGAGAAATAAAAAACTGCATTACAGCACAAGACAAAACACTTGTAAGTACCAAAACGCTAGACCTGAGCATTGATTCTTCCTAAAATAGAGACACTGCAACAATGACAGTATACATCAACATTTCTCAACATTCTTTTTATTTCACCACACAGAAAATTTTTAAAATATAGGAAAGGGAAGGAATCACTTCTTTCTCTGCATCTTTTTAGCATTACTTATTGTATTGTATACCAATTTTTTCAGAAATCTTTCTTTAAACTAGGTGAACAAAGTTTATGATAATCTCAGAAATGCTTTTGCAGACACAATTAAAAATATGATGTTTTACTTAAAAATTTATTTCCTGATAAATAAAAAAACAAAGCATGAGTAAAAATCCAGTTCAGCTGGACAAAAGTATAGCACCTGGAATTCACCATCTTCAAAATACTGCAGACCAAGAGCCCAGTCCTGCTAATTGCACTAATACTACTTAGATTGATAGAGATTTTCATGTGTGTATAAAGGCTTTCAGAGCAAATTTATACTAGCTAGTAAATATGAATTTTCGTATGAGAATTTAATTTTGTAATTTCCTGGGAAATGTCATCATTGAAATGGGATGCATTAGGAGGAGTGTGGCCAGCAGGTCGAGGGAGGTTCTCCTTCCCCTCTACACTGCCCTAGGGAGGCCTCATCTGAAGTACTCTGTCCAGTTCTGGGCTCCCCAGTTCAAGAAAGATGAAGAGCTACGGGAGAGAGTCCAGCGAAGGGCTACAAGGATGGTGAGGGGACTGGAACATCTGTCCTACAAAGAAAGATTGAGGGAGCTGGGCTTGTTCAGCCTGAAGAAGAGAAGGCTGCAAGGGGACCTAATATATACTTACAAATATCTGAAGGGTGGGTGTCAGGAGGATGGGGCCAAGCTCTTTTCAGTAGTGCCCAGCGACAGGACAAGGGGCAATGGGCACAAACTGAAGCTTAGGAAGTTCCGTCTGAACATGAGGAAGAACTTCTTCCCTTTGAGGGTGACGGAGCACTGGAACAGGCTGCCCAGGGAGGTTGTGGAGTCTCCTTCTCTGGATATATTCAAGACCCGCCTGGACGCGGTCCTGTGCAGCCTGCTGTAGGTGACCCTGCTTCGGCAGGAGGGTTGGACTAGATGACCCACAGAGGTTCCTTCCAACCCCTACCATTCTGTGATTCTGTGAAATGCTGCTGCAGTCAAAAACTGACCGTGCTAGAAAAGCAGCCTGCTTGTACACTGATGTTCCTTAAAATGAATAATTTTCCTACTAACATTTCTTCCATTTTTTCAGGAAAAAAATCCAAATATTTACTACTTTTAGAACAGAAGTGTAGCTACGTTAGTGATAGTGAGGTTCAGTTTTGACTACTGAATCACCAAGAAATGAAAATAAGCAATATGACTGATGTGGTTATTGGACACAGCAAGTTTACTAAACTTGAACCTTATGGTAACAACTGTAACAGTGGTGATGGTTGAGAACACTGCCTGTGCTACCATGTTTTAAGTACAAACTCATAGCAGTGGAGCTATCTCCTTTCACAGACATAAATACAAAATTCGTGTTTTGTTTGCGACACCAGTAAATGCTGACTGAGACCTTACTCATAGCACAGAATGAAGCGATCTCCCCAGACAGACGATGATCTTTGAAAAATTTTGTTCTCCACCACTACCTTCCCCTGCCAACACACTCTCACACCAGTAGCAGGGAATGGTGATTCAGGCTATCATTTATCCAGAGAAATACTGTCTCTTGAAACAGAGTAGGTATCGTATGTCTGGAACTCAGCACATTTTCCTGGATGGGCCTTGTTATACATGGCCCAGGTTTTAGCTTCTGCTTTCTGTGATGAACTGTCAAGTGTTTTTTAACAGATGGTTGTTGCATGACATGCTGTCATAACAAAATAAATCCAATTCCCTGTAAAGCCTGTCTGATTTTATCTTTCCAGATGGGAAAAAAGGAACAAATTTCTCAAATTAGTGAAACCATTTATTACCTTTAGCAGTTCAGGGACACAAGGGACTTAAATACATTTATAAATATACACATACTTTTACTTTTTAATATGCTTAGAACTTTTATGTGCCAGTATTTTGCAATTTACCTTAAATGCATATTTTAAGATTTTTTTTTAGCTCCAACATTTGTCATCATTCAGACTGAAAACAGATTAAAAGATGCCCAAGTGAATTCCTGTCAAAGACCTTCATCTTCCTGTTTCAATCCTGTCAGATCTCCCATTCACCCATTGCTACGAAGTATTATCCACCACCACTGACATCCATAATGTGTCTGAGGAGAAAGTATCATCTTTAGTTTGCGTATCTTACTTCCAGAATTTGTTTAAACCTTGTAATCTCTTTCTGAAAGCATCTCTTAGACACGTCATCTGCTATTCATCCAGTCACATGCCCAAATTTTTACTGCTCTACCTTTAAAAAAAGACTTTTGTATGCCCTTGAAAGACCCCGTCTCACCTCTTTGTACTCTTTCACAATGATACTGTATGAAGTTTCTTTTACCTAGGCTGTTACAAAGTGTTTTACACTTCTTGCATCTTTCTTCTGGTTTTTCCTTCCTTATCATATCAAACATAAATTGTTTTTCTTTACTTTCAAAGCTCATTCATAGACTATGTATTTTAACCGTCACCTCAATTTTAATTTTAGAATTTTAAAATTTTAAAACAGTGAAGGTATTAAGGGAAATGAAAGGTAATTTTCCTTTTTAAAGCTTGCAAAACTTAGATAAAAATACCATTTATGCAGAAACTTTGGCACAGCTATGCAGTAATTAGTAGCATTCATCTTAAAGAACTAACAATGTTTCTCTGTTTTGTGAATATAAACTAAACATTTATAAACCTGTTTTTATGACAAATAAATTTAGGACCAGTCTAAATAATACCAGCCTCTCTCAATATACTCTTGTACATTCTCAGTAGACCGTCTCTGTTTTAAAAAGAACTTTAAGAGCACACAGTCCTGGCAAATATCAAGGTAGGATATTGCTTTACATAGATAATTCTTCACACTATATCTCAGCTGCACACAGCTCTTCACGGAACCATCAGCTAGAGAAAACAGTGTGTGTTCCATGAGACTAACATCAGAAAAAGTATTTGAAGTCACAGAGTAGGGAGAAAATTATGAAAAGATTCTAGTCAGGGTTGTGTTTGGGTTTTTATTTTTTAATATTAGTTACTGTAGAGTCTAACAGATCTCTGTCTTCCTCTTTTTTTAACAGAGGGTTTGAGAACATCAAAGATGCTTCAACCACCAGGCATGTCTTTAGTATAGAAACAGAGCATTCTCAGTGGATGCAGCTTAACTCTGGAACTTCTCAACATGCCATGCTATTACATACTGCAAAACTTCACTATTCTCAGGCCTTTCTACAGAAATAGTTGAAGAGAAGCTGTGAGTTCATTAACATGATGGACAGCTTTTCAGTCTAGATACAACCTTTATGCTTAAGATTGGTGATTTAAATTTCTATTTGATAAAAAAAAAATCTATCCTTTCTTTACTGACTGAGAAGGAACCAACAGGATTTCTTCCATTTTCTCAGTTGGGATCATGCAGATAAGTGTTTCCACAGCTTTTGAAGTAAACTTTATTGTTTTACTTGGTATAAAACATAAAACAGAACTCCTTTAAGATGTTTCACATGTTCTGATTCTAACAAAATAATAGAGAAGACTGGCAGTAATTGTAAACAGAAATCAGACTAAAAAAGTTGTAATCATAATAATAAAGAATTAGCAGATACATTAGCATCCTAATTTAGCTCAGCATTTGGGAAGTGTTTAA